CTTAAGCATAGAGGCAGCAAAGCAAAATATACTGTAATTTTGCTTCGCTCAAATGGAATAGGTGATGCACTTATATATTTATTTTTTACTTAAATGTGTTAACTTTTTTATTATTATTTAAATATTCTGATAATATCTTAAATTGATCTCAAACAGTGATTTAAAAAATTTTATATTTACATAGGCAGTTACTGCTGTACCAAATACAGTCACCTACAAAAATATTTTGCATCGATTTTTTCGCAATATTCAAAATATTTTTCATGGTATTTTTTTGTTTATTAAAAAAAGTATATAGCTCATTTTACAACAAAAATCATGTAAATCAAAATTTCACACTTTAGAGAAAGTTGGTTTAAGTTCACCAAATTATCATAAAAATATCAAACTTTTTAATCATAATTTTTACAAAAAATTCTATTATGCAGTTTTATAGCCCATTCAATTTAATACAATAAAGTGCAATTTTAAAGTTGCTAAAAACTCCCTTGATTTTTGATTTTTTTTTTTACTGACGATGTTGGGCATTTTCTTCCTTATAACGAATTTTTTTGTGGCAAAAAAAAATATAAAATGTCAACGGGATGTTTTAGCAACTTCAAAATTGCACATACATATATATTTTTTTAAACTAACAAAAAAAATACCATGAAAAATATTCTGAATATTACAAAAAAAAATCTATGCAAAATATTTCTGTGAGTGACCGTATATGCATTTGTACTTGTAGTACAAAAGCTATGTTATAAATTAATGAGGATATGTACATACGTACATATATGTTTGTCAAATTTTATGTTTTTTTTTTTGTTGATTGAAAATACTGATTTATCGCCTTAATAAATATGTAAATGAATTACAATAAATTGTACTTTTTTTGTTATATCATTCTGATTTAAAATACTATAATAGGATGATTACAGATGTGTTGCACTTTTGCCTGAATTTCGGGACAATCCCGTTATCCCGGGATTGAATTTTCAGATCCCGAAAATCCCGGGATCGACAAAACCCCGAAAATTTACATCCCTACCATACACACATCTGCTTTTGCTTAAGGTTATATTTTTTCGCTTTTTTTCTATCAATGTAGATCCCTACCTCTACCACTGTTTAATAACATTCTGTTTTTCCATTATCTTCATTTTTATCATTATACTCTATCGATAACAAAATCGATTATAACGTCCATCAAAATACCGATACCAAAATCGATGACAAATTCGATAAAAATTTCAATAGCAACATCTATAATGCCATTGGTATCTAAATCGATTAGAAAATCGATAAAAATATCGATAACAAAATCTATAAATATCGATAACAAAATCGATAAATATCGATAACAAAATCTATAAATATTGATATCAAAATTGATAAATATCGATAACAAAATCGATAGATATCGATAACAACATCGATTTATATCGATAACAAAATCGATAAATATCGATAACAGAATGGATAAATATCGATAACTAAATCGATAACAAAATCGATAAATATCGATAACAAGACCGATAAAAATATCGATTATTTTATAGATATGTCTCGAGAATCCCGAAAATCTCTAAAATCCGAAAATAGTTCCCAGATTGAGTCTCTGTGTCTCTCTCTATATCCTTTCCTCTTTAATTACCTCTATTTTAATCTTTCTTCCCCTTTTTCATCTTTGCTTTTATCGGTATCCTCATCCTCCTCTTTGTCTTTACTTCTATGTTCATCATTTTTTTCAGCTACATATTCCCCTTCACATTTGTTCTTATATATATAAGTAAAGTGTTTAGATTTACCTTGGTCTTCATTTTTGCCATTATCTTTACGCATCTTTGTTTTTATTGTTATTTTTACCTTTGCCATAATCATTTTCTTTATCTATGTACGTACTCCCCTTTACTTTCATTCTTGTATTGGTCTTTTTCTAAGTGTTATTCAAAAGGTTAGCAAATTTTTGTTAAATTTATACCATATGCATACACATACTTGTTTCAGCCCCAACCATTCCCGTTGCACCATTTCCGTTTCACCATTTCCGTTGCATCATTTCTGTTGCATCATTTCCGTTGCATATACACAAGAAGTACTTGTTTCAGCCCAATTAATTTCCGTTGCACCATTTCCGTTGCATCACTTCCGCCCAACCAACCGCCGCTAAAGAAGTTTCACTTTAAAAAGATTTTCCGTACGTTTGAAAGGCAGTTTAAAAATGCGTATAATTTTCGTCACGATACTGATATCGTAAATTTTGTGTTTCTAGTTCAGCTTTCGTCACTCGAAAATTTTACCTCAAAGAGGTGTTTTATTTGATATAAATATCCGGACGGTATGAGCTGCGTTTTGAACCGTACGTACAATAATCACTTCTGGCCACTCCCAGGTGAATGGCAGTCAAAACTTTTCCACTTCTGCGTACGGAACCATCCTCATATAATTTGACGGCACCGTAATATTTCTGACGGCGGTAATGACGTAGAGCTGAACAACTATCGATAGTCGTGGCCATCGATAGTTTCGATAGTCGATAGTCACAACCATCGATAGTATCGATACTATCGAAAATGTCGATACTATCGATAGTTTTGATTAAAAAGGTCCAAAAATTTAACATAAACAATGTGAGTTGGTTTATATATATATAGTATATATGTATTTATATTTGTTTTTCGGCTAAACTTTAATGTGTATGTGTTTTTTTATATATTTGTTGTAACAGATAAAACAAACACTACTCCTGCAAAATTATGTGGGACTTTTGCGCCTTATCAGATTCTTTTTGCAGCAACTCGATTTCTGTGTATGTTTGCAACCCTTGATTTTGACGTTGGTTGTCAAATCTATTCTTTTACAAGTAAAGAAAAGCAAAAATAATATGGTGACCCTTTTTTTCGTCAATGACCCCTTGTTGCGACTTTCTGAAAGTTCTCAACGGCAACACTGATAACGCTTACATTAAATTTTCGTCAAAAACTGATAAATATCAAGCGCCATTTACACGTCTATTCTGCACGTTACCGAAGATTTTGTAACCGGATTCTAGGTACGTTGGTAATGCAGTTAAAATATTCAGCAATTCAGCTATGAAGAATTGTGCAAATTCTGGTATATTCACGGGGCAATACTTTGTTACCAGCTTATGAGATGGTAACAAAATTTACCGGTTACAAGAGTACACAGAATGTGAAAAGGGTTTAAAAATTGACAGAAACTTTATTTACCGGTTACAAACTTCTTATTACCAGCGCAGAATAGACCTGTTAGAGGCTTGTAAAATCCACCAAAATTAATTTAGGTGCTCACTTGATATCCGAGAAATTTGTAAAAATCTATGGGCCAGCAAGCATGATGGCACGTTAGCTGACACATCGAATAAATGTTCGTGGAACATGCATACAACTTTAACTTTTCTTAGAATCATGAAAAAATGAAACATTTTCGGAGAGTAGAGACAAAAATAAAGTACAGATTTTTATGAAATTTGCACAAAGATATTGGTTCCGCCATTTTGAATTTTTGAACACTGATTTCAGTTCTTTATTCAGCTACTCAAAGGACCTTTCTCATAAAAATCTGACATTTTAAATTCGTAATCAGAAACCCCAAAAACCTTTTACTATGTAATCTAATAAAGTTTGAAAAATCAGAAACGGCAAAATAGGATACTTTGTTTTTGTCTCTACTCTCCGAAAATGTTTGATTTTATGGTGGCTGGAAAATCGTATCGGACTGTGTTATTGAGAAATTTGGTGCTTTTTAGGGTCACCAAAATTATTAGGTGCTCACTTGATATCCGAGAAATTTTCAAAAATGTATGGGGCGGCAAGAATGATGCCACGTTAGCTCACCCATACATTAAATGTTCATCGAACAGGGATAAATATTATTAATGAATTACACTGTGCGACACCAAAAAATACCTGGGAAGTTATGTATATTTTCTGCGAGATATTTTCGAGTAAAACAAGAATCGAAATATTAAATTTGCCAAACAACCCAAAAATCTTGATTTACCGTTAAAAAAAACCGGTTTTTCGTACTTTTGTGCACTTATAATCCTGTAACTTAGTTCATTATGAACCGAGTTTCGCCTAAGAGATCTGTGTGTATTTACCCATCAAACACCTTTTTTTTACTTTTTCAACTTTTTTCAAATTTGTTGAGCTTTTTACGCACTATAAGAAAACCATACTAATCCTAAATTGATTGTAAAACTAAGTTTAACGATGAGTAAAACGAGTGTTTACTTTCAAAAATCGGATGAAAGTTTACTGAGTTATTAAACTTTTTATGAAAACAAAGTTTTTGCAAAAATATTATTTTTGGCTATACAACTCAAAAATGTTTGCTCGACCGCATTTTTATACCCAAGCGCACTTGTGCACAAGGGTATTATAACTTTGTTCACATAACGGTTGTTTGTAACAGGCAAAACGAATCGAGATAGATATAGACAAATGTATACATAAATGATCAGAATGAAAAGAGAAATCGATTAAGCGGTGACTGTCTGTCCGTCCGTCCGTCCGTCTGTGCACACGATAACTCGAGTAAAAATTGAGATATCTTAACGAAACTTCGTACATGCTCTTTTTTTGGGCGTAGGACGGATGGTATTGAAAATGGGCGAAATCGGACAATAACCACGCCTACCTCCCATATAACGGTAATTTTCAGAAATACGAAAACTGCGATATTTTAGTAACTACTGAAGATAATTCACTCAAAATTGACATTTAGAATAACTTTTAGACGAGAAATAAGAATATTAAAATTTTTTGAAAAATGGGCGTAGCCACGCCCGCTGCACCAATTTCTTCCAAACTTGCCACAGTTGTTGACCCTGGTACAGCATACCAAATGGCCGAAATTTTAAAATCGGACAATAACCACGCTCACATCCCATATAACGGTAATTTCGAGAAATACGAAATCCTCGATAAATCAGTAAATATTAAAGCTAATTTATTCAAAATTGATGGTTGCAACAATTCTTTATCAGGAAATACGCTGTTGAAACGTGATCTGGCGAGGAACGAAAAAATAAGAGCTAGCCTTGCTGAGAAAAACGCTTTACAAGGCGTGATGCTTTATTTCCTAAAAAATACACATACGTTAGGTTACAATTAATAATTTTTCAATAAAAAACAACTCTTACACTTTTGTGTGCTTCCTCCGCTTAAAACTCCAGATCACGAATGAGTTTTTCATTAGTGATGTGGTCGTTTTTACAAAATTAGAATCGATAACAATCGTTACATTACATTATGGTACATTCAGAGGATTGGCTCGCTTGAACAAGCAAGTGACTACTCTAACAACATTAAGGTACAAATAGACTAATACATTCAAATGAACAAGCAAGTAACTGCGCTAACAGCCCCTCCCCCGTAAATCTAACCAGATTTACCCAACTCCAGCTTAGCTAAGATGCAGGCCGGCCGCTTAAATGTGCCCGTCTTCGTCTGGACTTCTGCAGATCTCACTTGACCATCTTTTCCCGGGAATACCTTCACCAGGCGTCCCATGAGCCATCTGGATCGATGCTGGCTACTGTCGCATACGAGTACGAGGTCTCCTACTGCTAGGAGCTCTACCGGTTGGTACCATTTGGTTCTTCGGACGAGGTCAGGCAGGTATTCGTTAACCCACTTCTTCCAAAATCGATACTGCGTTTGTTGAACTTTTCGCCATTGCTTACGTGTGGCCTGGAACTTCTCTTCCTGCGGGTGCGGTGTTTGCTCGGAGTTTGGTGTACCTATAAGAAAATGGTTTGGGGTTAGAGGTTCGTCAGTGGCGGTGTCCAACGGGATGTGAGTCAGAGGCCTCGAATTTACGATGTTTTCCGCCTCGCACATGAGATGGTAAAGGCTGTGCTCATGTAGGTTTTCATTATATAGTGCGTGCCCCATAGCTCGCTTAACGCTCCGCACTAGACGCTCCCAGCAGCCACCAGCGTGGGGATTTGAGGGACAGTTGAATACCCACTCTACATTCTTGTTTACAAGTGCATCGGCTATCTTACCGTCATTAAACTCCTTCAATTGTCGCTTCAATTCTCTGTCAGCGCCGACAAAGTTCGTACCATTATCCGACCGAATACGCACAGGAATACCACGTCGGCACATAAAATTTCTCAAACACATCAGGCAAGTATCAGTAGTCAAGTCCTTCGCCAATTCCAAGTGTATCGCCCGTGTAGTAAGGCAAGTGAATAAAGCGATCCAGCGCTTTTCGCTACGCCGACCGATGGTTATCGTAAACGGGCCCATGTAATCTAATCCTGTGTAGGTAAAAGGCCTAACAAATGGTGTAAGCCGGTCTGCTGGTAGTTGTCCCATCTGTGGCGGTCGAGGAACGGCTTTCTCCTTGAGGCATACTTGACATCTCGCAGCGGCGCGACGTACTTCCGTTCTTATGCGCGGCATCCAATACTTACGACGAATTTCGGCGATTATCGTCGACTCATTCTGATGTCTCCAAATTCGATGAAAATAGTCAACTATAATTTCTGTTACATGACATTTGTTAGGTAAGATCGCGGGGCGTCTCGTCCAGGTCGGAACCATGGTTGCTGCGTCTATTCGACCGCCAATTCTCATTATGCCGTTATCGTCCATGATGGGACTCAGGTTCCAAAGCGCGCTGCCCTTCTCTATCTTATCGCCTGCCTGCAGGGAATGATATTCATCCAGGAAGGCTTCCATTTGCACCGCTCGGACGATACACATTTCAGCTCGTTCAAGCTCGTTTACCTTTAAGTTCCCATAAGCTCGCATTCCTTCCGTGGTACGGCAGTTTTTCACAAATCTCAGTGTCCAGCTGACTACTCTCTTAAGTTTCAAAAAACATGAAAATTTCTTTAAAAAATTTGTATCAATTTGTATTAAAAGAAACGTAAATTTATTTCGAAGTTCCACATTGGTAGCGTCGCATACTACGTTCGGTGGCCAGTTTTTTTCTTCTTCTTTGAGGAATTTCGGTCCTGTTAACCAAAAAGATTCGCGCTTACGATCTCTAGGGCGTGTCCCAAAGTCCGCAGGATTGAGGGCACTCGGCAGCCATCTCCATTCGTCTAACTCGCTATTTTCCAGGATTTCGTTGACTCGATGCGCTACATAAGGCTTATAACGTCGGTGATCTGATTTTATCCAGGCTAGAACGGTTTTCGAGTCCGACCACATCACTACCTTGACCGGGACCTTATCATGGCTGTTGACAACATTTTGTCTAAGGCGCGCAGCGAGCACTGCCGACTGCAGCTCAAGGCGAGGAACGGATACGAGTTTGATAGGAGCACATTTGGTCTTCCCAGCGATGAAGCACGTTCGAGTGTTGCTGCATTCATCCTGAAGCCTCCAGTAGGCTACAGCTGCATATGCTGACTCGCTTGCGTCCGAAAACACGTGCAGTTCTACTGGTATTAGCATAAATGTCGCTCCGTAGCAGCGGGGTACAGTTATCTTCTCCAATTCCCGCAGCGCTTCAAGCCACCTTCTCCAGTTCTCATATACCGCATCTGAAACTCTCTCGTCCCAGCCTTTACGCTCTCGCCACATCGCTTGCAGGATTAGTTTCGCTTCTAAGGAGTATTCCGCTGCTATTCCAAATGGATCAAAGACAGACATTGCTACGCTGAGCACCTCGCGTTTTGTTGGTTTCCTTTCCTTGTTAAAAACATCCCGATTCACCTTCCCAAAGGACAGCACAAACTTTAAGGCATCTTCCTCGGTATTCCAGGACATCCCGAGCACCTTCTGAAACAGCTGGGCGTTTTCCCTATCAAGGTTCAACATAGGCATGGAAAAGGGTTCTTTATTTAAATTGCTAATGACCTCAGAGTTAGACACGAACCTTTTCAGTTCAAAACCACCTTTTTTATGGATCCGAATTACCTGGCTCGTTATTCTCAGGGCATCTTCTTCGCTAGAGAAACAATGTACAAAGTCGTCGACATAGTGGTTATTTTTGATGGCTGCCACTGCTTCAGGGAACTCCTCAAAATCGTCAGCGTTTTTGTTCTTTACGAACTGCGCTGAACACGGCGAGCATGTGGCTCCGAAGGTCATCACATTCATTACGTATTCATCCAAGCGGGCCTCAGGATCGTATCTCCATAAAAATCGTTGTGACGACAAGTCTTCATCTCGAATCTTCACCTGGTGGAACATCTCCACTATGTCGGCGCAAACCCCGATTTGTTTTTGCCTAAATTTCATTAGCACCGTTCCCAGCGGCTGCAATAAATCTGGCCCACTTAACAGTGCCGAGTTCAACGACACCCCTTCTGACTCCGCTGCTGCGTCAAACACTAACCTGATTTTCGCGGGCTTATTCGGGTTATACACGGCGAAATGAGGCAAATACCAGGTACGCTTGCCTTTAACTGCTGCCTCCTCTTCACTTAGTTTACTGGCGTACCCTTTCGCCACATACCCTGCTATAATCGTCGCATATGCTTTTTTCAAATCGTCGTCGCGTTTAAATTTTCTCTCTAGTGCGTAAAATCTCTTTTCTGCCATCTCCCTACTTGCCGGCAACTCTATGTTATCATCCTTCCACAATAAACACGTTTCAAATTGGTTTCCGTTGCGCTTTGTATTCTCCTGCAACAGTTTCTTTGCCCTCACAATATCTTCGGCTTCAATCACCTGTTTCACAACACCTACGCCCATGCTTTCGTTGATTATGTAATCATGGATGAGGTCCTCCAGCTGAGAAGTTTCGCCCGCTTCACTCACTCGCGCAAACATTGTATGATAACGCGCCTGGTTCAATGGACGTCGCCCTGCTCCGTAGATTACCCATCCGAGTTTTGTCAGCACCACCGCATAACCTCTGCTACCGTCGTGAGCCGTTCGTCGTGGTACTCCAAGATACGCATTGTCCAATCCTATTAGGAGTTCGGGCACAGCGCCAGAATACTCGCGTAGTGGCAGATGTTGATCCTTATAATGAAGGTCCGACAGGCTTATCGACTGCATTGGCAATTGGAGATTTGAAACCGTACGCACGTTTCGCATATTAAACTTCTTGCTACCTCGCTCAATGCCGGAAATCTCTACATCTACCCTACAAGAAGGTTCAGTGACAGTTGTGCTGCCAAACCATTGCAACGTTATACTATCGCTGTACCCCTTAAGCCCAAGGCGAGTTGCTAAGGCACGGTTGATTAGTGATATAGCAGACCCTTCGTCGAAAAACGCATAAGTTTTGATTTCCCTCGAATTGGCATACAATATAACTGGTACAATTTTAAACAACAATTTCGATGCTTTGTTAGACGGGATAGTGTTCGTAAAAACTTGTTGTATTCCCTCCGGTGAAACGGGTTGTAGCTGCACGGCTTGTTGCTGCTGCTGTGCTACGTGATTCGATGCTTGCCGTGAAGATTGTTGCCTGTGCGATACCCCGCGTACACGTTCTCTTCCGCTACGCTCGTGAAGGAGGATATGCCACCGTTTTGTGCAATGCTCATTACCACACTCGTGCTGTTCATGACAAACGCTGCTACGGTGATTGCCTTTCAAACAATTAAAGCAGAGTCTTCTTCGACGAACTAAACGCCACCTCTCTCCTTGATCCATGTCTAAAAATCTTTTACACTTACTGAGTGTGTGCCTCTCTGCACACGCTTCGCATTTATCTCGCCACGAACTTTCACTGTTGACCTCGTTTGTGTGGAAAAA